ACTGGAGGATCAACTATAAGATGATTCCTACTTGACCCTACACAATGGGAACTAAAATGGCCTGTTCCTAGCTTTCAGAATGATGTCTGTGAACCTTAGGCTGACATACCTGTCCTGTGAAGCTGATCAACAGCACCTTCAGTAACAAGTCCCCATCAAATCCATGCCAACTCATGACAGCCAACTGCAGGCATTCAGGGCAGAACTGTGCTTCATCGGGTTTCAGTGGCTGATTTATCAGGAGTAGATTGCAAGGCTGCTTAATGTTTAGCACCTGGGGAGGACTCAGCCTGCAATTTGTTGGAAGCCAAATGCTTCATTGTTTAGTCCACCCAGGGACAAACAAAAAACAACACTGTTGTGTGAGATCCTTTATTAACTGAGCAGTGGAAGAGTCCCACCAGGGAGGCACAATACCCCTTTGTTGTCTGTCAGGAAGTGTTGTTTTTTTATTTTGTTTTGTTTTCTTTTATACTCTTGCTGGTCCCAGGTGCTGGGCTACTTGCTACAGCAGCCTACTGTTGAAACATTTCAAGGGCACAGAGATATGTGGACAGCATTTTGCTGTTGAAACATTTCAAGGGTACATGGAGTGCAAAACATCTATAGACAATAGCAGTGACTGCTTTGGGGCAGCAGCTCAAGACAAAACTTTGAGGCTTGCGGAAAAAAATCTTCCACACACAGGGTTTGGATGGAGTGAGAGCTACATGAAATGAAGACTATTTGGCTTCTCAAAAACCAATACGTTAATTGCTGAACCAGAACCAGAACCAATGTTTGAACCAGAACCAATGAATGGCTGATGCCTCCAGCATGTTTTCTGGGTCTCTAAAACAGGAGATCAACCATCTTTCTCCGAGTTGCTGGTAGATTCAAACTACTAGAGAGGCCCGGCCTTTGGGTTTAGCAGAGAAACTCTCCAGGGACTAACCCACACCAGAGCGCCCTGGATCTATATCTCTCATTATCGGATATCAACAAAGTGGTGTTTGTATTAATCTCTTGTCAATGTTAAGAGTCTACCTAAATGCCCATCAACAAACGAATGGGTAGAGAAGCTGTGGTATATTCGTACAATGGAATACTACGCTGCATTGAAAAACAAGGAACTCATGCAATAGTATTCAAAATGGGTGACCCTGGAGGACATTATGCTGAGTGAGGGAGGTATCTCAGTCACAAAGGGACAAATGCTATATGGTGCCACTGTTGTAGAATGAGGCTGGCATTGGGGTGGGGGTAAGACTGAGAAAAACTGGATGA